AGTAAGTCTGATTCTAAATATAAGTCTGATATTAAGATAAGTTTGTAACTAAAATTAAGTCTTATTCCAAAAGCAAATTTAATTGTATAATAAGTCTGGATCTAGAGTAAGCCTTAGTCTACAGCTATTCTGTGTCAAAAATAAGTCACGAACCATAGTAAGTTTCGGACTAGAGTATGTCTGTAATTCGAATCATTCATATTCTTCAATTATCCCGCCAAAAAAATTATCGTCTTTTTATCATACCATAGTTTTTATCAATCTCGTTCTACTAAAAAAACCTTTATATTGGTGATTTCTTTGTTAAACCCGTATTTTTTCATGTGAATCTTATTGTATAAACTAAAGGTAACTAAACTCCTTTCGCCGATCCGATTTGCTCCATATTTAAAATATAGCCTGCATATGTAGAAGAAAAGCTAATTTTGAAGTACGCCCGAAATCCACCAACAGGATTTCGAGCTACTAAAAAGGTACTTTTAAATGTGATTTTTTTTATAAAAAATTAAATTTATTTTAAGATCAGACTAAAAACTAATTTTATGGAAAATCTATATCGACAAATTTATTACTTATTGGGTATATAGATTTTTTGATTATGGCGATTATGTCTGATATGCTTCCAATAAGCCAAAACACATTTCATACTGATTTCTATAAAAGGTATCTTTATTATAGAAGTGTAAGCTATATCTGTTTGTTTTTTTATTATAACAAATTCAAAATTCTCTTATAAGGACTAGATGAAATCTGTATTATTAAATCATTAGCTAAATGAAGGTTCAAATAGAAAGTAAATATCAATTTATATGATACTGAAACCAAATAGTTCTTTTAATAAAAGATAACACGCTGAAAATTATTGAGTATTTGCAAATCTCAAAAATCTATTGGTGAATTTGGCTCAACTTTTAAAATTATAACATCCATATCAAATCATAAAAGCAGACAAAAATTAAAGCCAAACCTATCGGCCAATTTTTTTTTGATATTTTGATTTTTGAGGTATACTTTTAAAAGTGGATTTAAAGCACTGATGAAAAAACATTAACTTCTGTCGTTATGATTATTGATTTAGACAATAATGATTTTAATCTTTGATTATCAAAACACTAAAGTCATCTTTTTAACATTTGCTTGGTAGCATTAACTCAAGTCTAAAGTACTATTTTATGTGGCACTCTTAGAATTTTTGTATTCATTGCACACGCTGAAATAGTACCATTAAAGTTATGGCGGACTTTCAAAAAATAGTTTGGTCACCTTTTATAAACTCTAAAAGTTCAATTTCCGGTCGAAAAAAACTTGAAAACAATTTGTATTCGACGAGTTAAAGAGCTCTATTTATTCTAAATTTTCCAAAAAAAATTAGATTTCGTTTTTTCGCTTCAAAAAATGTTGTTTTAAGTTTTAAAATTTGTAATTCAAAATTTTTTTAGAAAGATTTACGATTTTTTAATACTGCGAATGAGTTTTATTTTACATACTCTATTGATAAATCATATTTTTGTCGAGATATAACTTTTTTTTTAAAAAATTATATGCAAAGAGTGTTATAGAATTCTAGAAGGTATAGTGCATAATTTGAAGTATACTATCAAATAAAGAAATTTTACAGTTTTTTAGTTTTATTTAGATGTACGTTATTTTAGATGGCTTCGTCGAAAACAAAGCATGTCTGTTAAGTTTATTCTTAACATGGTAAATAAAATGGCAACGAAGCCCAGTGTACTGCGTCTTATGCCGTAGTTTTTGTTATCTTCATACTCAAATACAACAAATACAAATAGATTTATTACGAAAAAACGTATAAAACAAATGATATATTTATTTCTAGACAAGTTGACGAACATGTAGCGCAACTGTATCGCTTTAGAGAACAGTTCTTCCAACACCTACTCATTCAGTGAAAGATTTAAGAAGAACTCTTACTCGACCTTAACTACCTACGCTTTGCTTGAACAATTCCCAACGAGGTTACTATAAGGTTGCAAGTCTTGTCAAAATGTAGTATGCAATACGTTGGGGAAAAATAGATATATACGAACAAACTACTACAGTCTAGCAACTAGTCTTTAAGTGTAATGTATTTTTGCTACAAAGAGCTCATAACGAAGTCAAATTTTGCAATTTGATGTCAAAACTAGCTAGTTGTTGAATCAAATAGCGTTGTGACTTTGTATACATCACGATCTTGTGGTATCAGAGCTGTACTGCTGCAGACTAATTCAACTAAACATGAGCAAGATTGGGATTTCTATTCTCTGGGGTGCGAGGCTCGTCCAAAGTTCAAGCAGCTACAGTGTTTTGGATCACCTAAAGAACTTTGGGAATTCAGTTATTACGTAAATTTCTCAAGATGAACTTGAGAGCAGCGCAGTTATAACGAAAGTCTCTGATGAAAGGCAATGATTTCTTTCATGAATGATCTAACGTTAGCTTGAAATCAGGAAAAGAGACTATTGATGACTTACTTTCCATCGATGGTGCACAACAGCAGGGAGGGGATTGGTGGGTTTGGGGAAATTCGCTGAGGCACTAGTGTCCGGATTGTTCGTCAAATAGGTTTCCTTTCCTATAAAGAAATGACACTTTTTTGGCGGCTTATTGACTCAGAAAAATTTGAGAGTTAACGAATAATTTTGGCGCCAAAAATAATTTCTCTTAATTTATTAAATTTAATATACGCACATCCATAAGTTATGCTATTTTTTCTATTTATTTTGTTCTAAAATTCTAAATATTTTTTTTTCATAACATAAAATATGATGTCTAGTCTCATTTACATAACAACATGCCTTAGAATAGGTTTTTTATTCTTTTTGTCACTTTAAATTAAGAATAAAAAGATAATTTAAATTGAATATTTGCGATTATTCTCACTAATGCTGCTTCCTCTTTTATTAGGTAGACAACAAAAAGTTAGCCTTGGACTCCCATATCAGATTTTTGATTGGTTGCGTATATAATGAGCTGGGATTGATAGACGAAAACCCAGTGAGAAAATTTTTGACGCCACTTTTGAAGTAGTATATGAATGCGGGTTTAGTGACTTTTTTTGTTACATCTATATATAGACGATACATTAAAATATATTTATTTATAAATCATTAAAAAAATTAACATTAATTTTAAAATAATTTATTTTTTATTTTTTTATAAAATAATCTATATATAGATGATGTCAGATATTCCGCGATTAATTAAACATTGTTTAAATCCTGAATGGGTTAAACTTCAATTTAAAAATGAAGATTGTGAATTATTAAATGAATATGAAAGCCAAAATAAGCTAATGAGGTATAAATATAATGATAAAGAATATTTAATTTCATGGAATCAATGGAGTCATAATCAAAGACCTCATAAACGAGAAGAAGAAATTGAAAATAACGAAATGGAAATCATTGATGACATTAAAGAGGATGGAATTCCTAAATTTTGTAGAAAAACCTTTAGAACTAAGTTAGGAGCATATAAACGTAGAGTATTAAATCCTGAATACATAAAACATTTATTTAAAAAGGAAGACTGTGAATTATTAAACGTTAATGAATATGAAAATGCTAAATCAAAACTGAGATATAAATATATTGGAAGTGATGAAAGATGCAAAGATAAAGATAAAGTTTATTCAGTTTCATATAATAACTGGCACACGTTAGGGATAAGAAAACATTTAGGAGATTATGGTAAAAGTTCTGAATTCTTTAAATCTAGTATGTACGAGAGAGTAAAAGAAATTAGAAATAATTATTTTCATGAATGAAAAATAAACTTTAAAAATTCATGTCTTACATTTTTGAATAATTTATTTTTTTATTTAATGATAAATGAGTGTCAAGACTAACGACGTTAAAAAATTGGGATTCACAAATGAGGAAATAAAGGATATATTAGAGGAAGCGGGTTATGAGGTTAGTAAATATTATTTAAGAAATTGTCAAAAATTCGCGGAGTTTTTAAATGAGTTTGATTATGATAGAAAAATGAATAAAGATGATGTTATAAATTTCTTATATCCCACATCTGAAGAAGAAAAACCTAAAGAACCTGATGTTTTCCCTGAATATTATGAAGAACGGATTAAAGATGATGAATATGATGAAATTGAAAGACTGGAAAAAATAAGAGATGAAATAGATGAAAAAATTAAGGAATTAAGAGAAGTTGAAAAATATAATGAAAATGAAGTAGAGGGTTTAATGAATATCCCAGCTTCAGAATCAGCAGTTCAAAAATCTCATGAAGAAAGATATAAAAATTATGTCTCAGAATCAACACAAAATTTATTAGATGGTGAAATTGACGAAACACTTTCAGAAGAAGGTACTAAATTTATTCGTAAACATAAGTTACAATTTATTGATAATGAAGAATACCCTTGTATCTTACTTTCACCCCCTCTCGATTCTGAGAAATTCAAAAAAGCACTGAAAAATGTAACATATGCAACAAATACGATTAAGAAAGAAGACCATGATATTTACACAAATTATTATTTAAATAAATGCACAGGTGTTGATAAAGTTTTTGATTTATTAGATAAAATATCAAAAGAAACCATTGGTACATATAAAATTTTATGCGATTTGGTTTCATTATTGAAGATACCAATAATGTTTCATATGAAAGAACAGCACCGAAGGAAGACGAAGTGGAAAGGTCTATACCATTCGTTATTAAGAACATAAAAGATATGAAAACGTATAAACATTATATTTATTCATTTATTTCAGAAAAAATGGAAGCAACCCATAAAACATCATCTCATCATTTTATAGCTATTCATACATTCCTTTTCAAAGTTGTGAAATTAAATAAGACAGGAATTAGATTTAATGTATCAGGGTACGCATTCTTGAGTAAATTAAAATGTATTCGTCACGTCGCAGATGATAAAAATTTATGTGTTCTTAATTCATTTTATGGACTTTAGCCCTGGACTTTAAAAAATAAACTTTATTTTTATTTATTTTTTAATTTTTATTCTTACATAAATGAACAAAAACGGAACAGCTAAAATGAATGATAATCAAATTAGAGCAGAAGGTAGAAGGTTATTTAAACGCTTCTATAACATTCCTGATGGTGTTAATCCTAAAACTCGTAGAAGCTATTTAAATGAAGCAATAGATGCATATGAAGGGTTTGACATTTCATCAGAAAGTGAGAGGTTAGCAAGAATGTTAAACGTTAATATTGATTTTTATTATTGTGACCCTCAACCAGAAGACGTAGACATTAACAAGGTAGACTTTCCATTAGTGGAATCAATAATGATAGATCCAGAATTTGAAACAGTAAATATTTTATTAACACAGAGTCCATGTGGAAAACTTCACGCTGACAGAATAACAGACGTTGAAGCACTCACCGGCTATAAAGTTTGTCCATATTGCAAAGAAGAAGTTTATTCTATCCGTGATGATCCAGAAAGGAAAAACCAAAGAAGATTTTTAAAACATTGTGAGAAATGTAAAGAAAATAATGGAAGATTAATTCAAGACGTTCAATTGCAAAACACACAACAACCATATGCACCACATATCACGAAACAGAAGATATATCAATGGCTATTAGCACATAATTTGCAGGAATATTATAAACCAACAAGATATTATATTACTTTTGACTTCGAAACATTAGAGACTAAAGAAGAACTTCAACTTTCTGAATGTGCAACTTTGAACGCTTACTTAAAACCATTTATGGTATCATCAACTGTCAAAATAAAGCCGCAAAGCGGCGAGGTCGTAGACCGTGATAAAACATTTACGAGGAATTTTTGCTTAACTTCGAGTGATTCTTTTATTTCTGATTGGATTGAGTTTTTATTTTCAACCTGTTCATTAGTTGCTAAATCAAATATTGAACAATATGAAGAATTAATGAAGCCGCAAACGGACCAAACGGCGGGGACTTTGTCTCATACATTAAATGAGAAACAAAAGGAAGCATAAAGACTTTAGATGAAGAATTTAATAAAGTGAATATCATAGGTTTTAATTCGGGAAAGTTTGATTTAAATTTAATTCTTCGTGATTTAAACACTGCAAAATGGAAAATAAAATCAATGCTGGGTTCATCTTCTCAATTTAAGCAAATCATTGTAAAGAAAACAAACTGTCCATATGAATTAAGATTTATTGACATCAGAAATTATATAGCGGGTGGGACATTAGACCAATTCACTCAAGATTTCGGAAACAATAAATCACGTGTTAAATCCTTTTCCCTTATCAATTCATCACGTGGGAAAATTACGAAGATGAATTATATAAAAAGGAACCATTCACGAAAGATTCATTTTATTCAGCATTAACTCAGAAACTATATCCGATTCAGATTATCAAATATATCTCAATGATGCTAAAAATTTTGAGAATAGATTAGAATATTTTATTCATTATTGCAATAAAGACGTTGAAATTATGATTAACCCAATTGATAAAATTATTGAAGAAACATTTGTTTATAAAATTGACATGCTTCATAATCTTTCTTTATCATCGAATGCATCAATGATTCGTTACGCGTTAGCATATAAGAACTTCAATCCTAACGAAACATATCCAGAAGAAGAAAATGTGGAATCAAGTTTTGAATTAACGAAAAAGTATTGGAAATATAAATTGAATCATAAAGAAACAAGATGAAAAAGCAGAAAGGGATACTAAAAACAATATTTCAATGAATGACTATCAATACTATCACGATTTAATCCTTTCATCTAAATGCAAAATGTGTGGTAAAGCGTTTACATATGCTAATAAACCAACATTGGATAGAATCGATAATGAAAAACCACATACCAAAGAAAATTGTCAGTTAATGTGTTTTATTGCAATGTCGTAAAATCAAATAAAGATGAAGATGTTCAACGTTTAAGAATCAATTTAAGAAATTATGCATTAAAAAATAATTTACCAATGACTTTAGATTCAGTTGAAGCTTATCACATTCTCCGTAATGGAATTACTGGTGGTCTATCAAATGTTCAACATCGTGTTAATCTTAAGGAATCACCACATTAATAAACTTTCATATAATCCAGAAACTAAACTGTATCAAATGAGGACACCACCAACATTATGACTCATTTCGTTGGTGTTGATTTTAATTCATTATATCCTTCATCATTTTCATCTAATCCTCATGATTTCATTCAATATACTGACCATAAAATGTATATGCCGGGAAGATTGAATGGTGTTATCATTTGTGATACAGCAACAAAGAAAGCAAAAGCACTGGGAATTATTAGAAAGAAAAATACTTTATTCGTGGCTGAAGTAAAGGGTCACATTGTGAAAAATACATTAATGATTACATTAACTTTTTACCAATAATAAGAAACTTAGATATTATCACAGATGAAAAAACAATTGGCAGTTTTATGTATAATTACATGAAATCAAACAATCTACCAGTTGACCAGAAACAGAGGAAATTAACTCAGTTAGCATCAACACACAACCAATATCAACCATTTTCTTCTTATTATCTTTGGTATCTAATAGACAGATTTCATTTTATCATTGATGATATTCAATCAATTTTAACATTTACGAAAAACACTTGCTTTAATGAATTTGCGAACGAATTTATGAACGAAAGACAAAAGGCTGAATTAGAAGGAAATAAAGGAAAAAGTTTATTTTGCAAGATTTCACTTAATGGATCATATGGTTACGATGCAATGAATACACAAAATTACGCAAAGACTAAAATAATGAATGCACAGAAGGCACGCGTTGCATGTATGTCAAATAAGTTTAAAAACATAAGAGAAATAGGTGAAGATACGTATCAAGTGATGCTTAAAGATAGATTTTATAGATGTGATACATGTTTACAAGAGGCATTCTTCACTTTAGATAACGCAAAATACTGGTATTTGGTTTTCATTTATGATTTTATGTATAAATGCATGAATGTTAATCGTTTTCATTTCATTGAAGGTGATACTGATTCATCTTATTGGGCAATCGCTGGCGACCAAATCTTCCTAACACTCAAGCATTTCAAGCAATTGTTACTGATAAACAATTTTATGATAAAAACATTTACAAATTCGCACCTTTTGATTTCTTTTGTTTTAATGAGAAATTTAAACCTAAATTAAAGAATAAAGCTGAAGAAAAAGCACATGAGAAGAAGTTATTGGGTTTAGCAATTGAGAAACAAGGTGATAACATGGTTGCTTTATGCCCCAAGTGTTATACATCATTCAACGGTTCAATTGATGGAAGTGATTTTAAAAAGATTGCACAAAAATGAAAGGAGTTAGTTTACGACAAAATAAACAATTAACACCTAAAAATTATTTGGATATAATAAATGATAAAGTGATATTTGATGGTCAGAATATTAATTTACAACTTAAAAATGGGTCAATGACTCGCTTAACAATTGGTAAGACTGCATTAACAGGAGCACACACTAAGGCTGTGTGTTGTGAAAATGGATGTTGTATGCCATTTATTTAATAAAATGCCACAGAAGAGACAAAAGGAACCGTTAATGATGTTTTTGATACTATGATTCAAAGAGGTGGGCACCCTTAAAACATTTATTTTATTTTTATATAAATGGATAACTCAGATTTAGAAAATTTAATTGATGATTTAGTACTTAATCAAAAATTTCTTAGTTATTATGAATTAAAATCATATCTCCAAAAATATAATAATAATATAACGGGTGATGATATGGAATATTATTATCCATATTATGAAAATGAAATTTTGAAATATCATAATAAAATAATTTCTGAAATTAAAGACAAAATTAAAAATAATGAATATACAAAGGGAAAAACTAAATCACAACTTAAACAATTGAAAGATTTCAAAAATAAAGTATTAACAGAAGAAGATATTGATGAATTATATAAATTATATAATCCTGAGCCGCAAAAGCCAAAGGAACAAAAGCCGAAAACAACACCAAAAGAGAAAGTAGCAAATGTTCAACAGCTAAAGGTGCAAAACACCCAGGTCCTTCAGACCATAAATGAAGCACAAGCTTTAATTTATGATTCATTAGTTAAACCATATTCAGCCCGACTTTTAAATGAAGATCAACTTTTGGAATTCATCCTTCAACATAAACTCGAAGCGGGAAAGTATATTAAACCTTTATATACAGCATATTTAAAACAAATGAATAGAATACATCCAGAATTAATGAAGGAAGGAATGAATTCCAAAACTTCATCATCCAAAATCAAAGCAGATAAAATTAAACCACTTGCAACACCAAAACCTCTAACGACAGTACCTGCAACACCAAAACCACCTCCTCCTTCAGTTAATCCTTCATCATTCACTTTATTATATCCATTTCAAACATTAAAGAAACAAAAAGATTTTAAAAAGGATTTCAAGATATTAAATAAACCAATTGACCCAAAAATTCAACCGTTAAAGGAAAAATTTAGTCGCCCTTCATTTGCTCCATATCCATATTCATACGAAATCGATCATCTGGAATATTCAAAAGGAAACGTTACTTATTTATTTGCCATTAACATTAACACCAGATATTTATATTGCATTCCAGTGAAAGGGAAAACAGAACAGGAAACAAGAAGAGCTATACAATACTTACTAGATCATGAAAGAGTAGATAATATAAGGGGTGATGGTGATAAAGGATTTCAGGCAGCTATGGCTCATTATTTCCCACAAATTAATTTTTACTTTTCATCCTCTCCATATACGTTTCATAATAAAATAGTTGATGCGGTAATGAGAACTCTTAGAGATGCATTAGGGGTTAATGGTCAGATATACTGGGATGGAAATCATGACTCCATCATACAACAGTTAGTATATTATTACAATAATACATGGCATAGAACAATAAACATGAAACCGGTGGAAATGAAAAATGATATTTCAAAAGAATGGGAATATATTAGAAAGCAAATGGAAAGGTTGAATGATGTTAAACGTGAACAAATTAATTCGGGCTCATGAATTTTAAAAAGGGGATAAAGTTTTGATTCATCTCGATTATGGAAAAACTGATAAATCAATGACAAAAAGAAGACGAAGATTTGACACAATAGCTGAATTTGTTAGATATATTAACGGCAATGCATTAGTTGAGGTTAACAATAAATTAATAGAAATTCCGATTTATTTTATTACTCCATTATATTTAAATAATATTTAATTTTTTTATTTCGTAAGAAATGAGTGACAACGAAGCATCCAAGAGTCCAGACAATGAATATAAAAAGAAACTAAACAGAATTAAATCAAAAATATGCTATTACAAAAAGAAGCCACAATGCGGTGGGTTTGAAAACGATAAAGAGAGGAAAGAAATAATCGAAAAATTAGAAACTTACCGTTCAATCCTTAAACTGAGTGAAGCAAAAATAAAAGAATTTAATAGAATAAATAAATTGATTGGAAGAGATGAATTTAAATAAAGATGAATTTTTAAACTCAAATCCAAATTTAATTTTATTCCTCGAAACATCTCTCTTCCATCATTACTGCATAACCACATTTTCTCAGTTTTAGTGGTTTGTTATTTTAACATGTTCTTGCATCATTTTTATCATTTCCTCCTTGTTATGATTCGTGTAAATTTTGAGCTTGTGTGGGTATTCATTTATGATAAAAATAAAAATTTAAATTATGCCGTTTGCTCTTTTGGAGCTCAGGACTTTCAGTCCGTTCTAAAGTTTGAGACAACATGACATTTTGACAACAACACAGGAAATAAATGTTATCGTTTATGTTTTCATTAATGATTTTAGGTTATTCAATAATTAATTATTT